ATCTATCTGATCAGTCAGACACAACCCAACAGATCCAGACTGTGGGGCTTCTTTAAAATCACCTGGTCTGGACTCTCTAAAAACACCTCATCCCTGAAAAAAAAAAAGAAGAAAGGAAGGGAGCAAGGAAGCAAGAAAGGAAATTAAAAAAGGAAGGAAACAAGGGAAGGAGAAAGAAAAGGAAGGAAGGAAGGGAGGGAGGGAGGGAGGGAGGGAGGGAGGGAGGGAGGGAGAGAGGGAGGGAGGAAAAAAGACAGTGCAAAGAGGGGGAGAAGAATTTTTAAAAAATGTGACATAACCAAATGTAATAGATCTTGACTCAAGTAAATCCCAAATTCGATTTTGGAGAGAAACTTGATTATGGAATATTCGATGACATTTAATGACTATGATTGAACATTTACCCTAAGGAGAGAGACGATCAAGTGCTGGTAGGTGGGGAGTGTCAGTATCAGGATGGTTGTAGGTGAGAAAGAGCAAGAGGGGAGGAGAGGAAGGGGGAGGGAGGAGGAGGAGAAGGGGGGGCTAACATATGATAAATTGGTTTCGATTGGTAGATTTAAGTGAAAAGTACAGTAGTGTTTATTCCAGTCTTCCTTCACTTTTCCTGAAGGATGCGGTTAAGTCAGCTTTCTCTCCCTCCTTTGGAGCGAGGGTCCTAACGGGGCAGAGGGTGGGACAGGAGAGGTTCCGGGCAGGATAGAGATGCAGAGAGCAGCATCCCCGCTGAGGAGGGAAAGTGAACTGTGCCTTCTGCAACCACTCCAGGCCTCCTTGGTAGAATAATGAGCATGTACTTATTGGGAAGTCTCAGTTCCTAAATAAAACTGGAACCCAGAGGGCCAAACTAGTGTGCTGCCAGATTCCCCCCCCCACCCCAATTGTGGCCCCAAATCCTGCTCCTTGCGGTCCCAGCTGACGCCCAGTGGACACACTCGATGGATCTGGACAGGGGTCTATGTCCACCTTTCTTGGGCTCTGGGGCCCTCGCCAGATCCCTCCCAAGGGGGCATCATTTAGTGCTTCAGTTCATGCATTCTTCCCGCACATACCCTGCAAGTGACTCTCCTGCCCCAGGGCACAGCAGCCAACAAGAAACACCAAGTTCCAGGGCCAAAGTGACAGGACCATGGGTGGGGTGCTTGTCTTGTATCTAGCTGACCTGGAGTTCAACCCCGCGTGGCCCGTATGGCCCCCAAGCCCCAGCGGGAGTGATCTCTGAGTTGCAGGGCCAGGAGTTAGCCCAGAGCACAGCCAGGTGTGGCCCCCAAAACAAAAAGAAATCGATCAAGTCCCTGCTCGTAAGGGGAGAAGAAAAAGCGCATCAGTCACGGAGGCAAAGACACGTGAGCCCTCCAAGGTCAGAGGTTCCTTCTGGGGGTGACCCGGGAGGCAGCAGGGAAAGGCTCTTCAGGTGAGGGAAAATGAAGGGTTCGATGATCTTTTTGCCCTTCGTCCCACAAGGCTGCTCTTGCCCCCGTACCTTTGAAGCTGCGAGTGGGTTGGCGCCTCCGGGTCACTGCAGCTCCGGTGTCCCAGCTCAGCGTCCCCTTTCCTGCTCCTCCCCAAGGTCCCTGCACAGGCAGAGGCCAGAGCTGTGCTCTTCATGCCTTGGGGCTTCTTCAGGGCTCTGCAATTTCTTGCGTTTTATCAGTTCCCAGGACATGCCCCCGCGGCCCGTCTACCGACATCAAAAGTAACGGGGTTTGACCTGAGCACATTCTTTTTGGCCCTAGCTTTATTGGGTAATAATTGACAAAGTGACTGTGACTCTGTCCATCACCGGCATAGTTCGTCCCTGTGTACATAGTGACAATTTGCTCTGCGTGCACTTTGTGCAAGAATGCCCACAAGAATCAATAAACTTTATCACCTCACTTTTTTTTTTAAGTTTTCTTCCTTGCCGGAAATGCTGGATATTGTTCCCCTAATGGACTGGGGAGATGGCATATGGGTTAAGGCATGTGCCTGGCACGTTTGACCCCTGGTACCCAGTATGGTTCCCCAAGCACTGTCCGAAGTGATCACTGAGCACTACTGGGCATGTCCCAACCGCCCCCCCCCCCCCCCGCCACCAAGAATTGAACATTTTTTTTTTTTGCTTTTTGGGTCACACCCAGCGATGCTCAGGGGTTACTCCTGACTCTGCACTCAGGAATCACCCCTGGCAATGCTCAGGGGACCATATGGGATGCTGGGAATCGAAGCTGGGTTGGCCACACGCAAGGCAAACACCCTACCTGCTGTGCTATTGCTCCAGTCCCTGAACAGATTTTTTAATTATTTCCTTATTAAATTTTTCTCTACCAAACAGTGCTATTACCCATACTCAGAAGCACTATAAACATAACTTGGTGGTCTTTTACCAATCTCTCCCCATCTCCTGCACCCTGGCAACCACTGGTCTACCTCCTGTCTGAAATTTTTAGATTCCACATACAAGCAAGCGCCTATAGTGTTTGTCTTTCTCGGGCTTTTTCACTTAGCTGAATATCCTCTGGGTTCCCCGTAACAGCAGCGTCTCTTGCTCTTGGTTGTCAGTTTTCCACTGCCCAAATGCGTGCGTTCATGTTGTTCGTGAGTCCAGACTCAGCCAGCTTGGTCCCATGTCTCGGCCTTTGTGAGTCAGGCTGCAGTGAACGTGGGATGTAGGTATCACTGGGAAACAGGAACCTCTTTTCCTTTGAACATTGACCCAGAAATAAGGTTTCTGGGTCATGTGGTGGGGTTCTGTTTCCACAATGGCCCTAACTTATTGTGTTGCGGCTCATTAAAGAGGAGACCAGGGGCTGGAGCCATAGCACAGCGGGTAGGGCGTTTGCCTTGCACGCAGCCGACCCGGGTTCGATTCCCAGCATCCCATATGGTCCCCTGAGCACTGTCAGGAGTGATTCCCGAGTGCAAAGCCAGGAGGAACCCCTGAGCATTCCTGGGTGTGACCCCAAAAAAAAATAAATAAATAAAAAATTTTTTAAAAAAAGAGGAGACCATTCTCACTCACTCAGAAGCTGACTTCACAGGCCGACAGGAACCAGACTCTTGGCTCTGTATCTTGGCTTCAGTCCCGAAGAGCGGGCTGGGCAGGGTCTTGGGGGTCAGGCGCATGCCCCCCGCAACAGGAGCCCAGGCTCCAATACCCCGTACCACAAACAAAAAGGAACCAACGATTTTTTCTAATAGTTGTCATTTTTGTTTACTCAAAATTGAGATAACTCCATCTTTCTTCCTAGGACAGTTGGAAACGTTAAATGAACTTCACCGAGGACGAAAACACTGAGCACAAGCCTCACTCAGGGGCGACCGTTAACAGCAGGGCCCACTTTGGCTCTCCACCGTGGAGTGGGAGAGGCAGGATGGGGCATTTGCTCCTGCGTAACCACCTGGGGTCCATCTCCCTTTCCAGCACCCAGGAGTGCTCCCTGAGCACAGAGCCAGGCAAAGCCCTGACCACACCAGGTGTGGCCCCAAAACAAACAAAACTGTGTCCCCACTTTGACTTCTGGAAGTAATCCTCAGTCCTCTGCTGGCTGAACTGCAGTGAGAGAAGTATGTCCTTGGCGGCTGTTCCCTAGGGGACTCCGTGCCCCTGAGAATGGCCTCCCAGGAGCTGCAGGGGTGGTGCCCACGCTAGATGAGTTTCGCTAGGTGGGGGCCTGGGGGGGTGTTATATTCAAGAATCAGGCCTCGGGGAGTCCTGGGGAGTCCCGAGTGTCAGGAGAACCCCCTCGACTCATTCCACCCTATCCTGTTTCCTCCTCCTCCCCACACCCCATGGTTTCTGCAGAGCCTCAGTGACAGGAAACCCCAGGGACCAACCTTCTCCTTCGTGGGTCCCCAGGCATGGGGGGAGCTCTGGGATGTCACCTCCTGCAGACAGCACCCCGCTTCCCAGAGCCAGGCTGTCCCGGGACAGCTCCCACTGGCCCATGGGGGTTTGCCATCTAGTTCCTGGGACAGACCCTTTCCCATCCGCGCCCCGTGCACCACTGTTCCGTTGAATCGAAGAGCAGCTACAATTGGATTAAAATTCTCCCCCGGGGCCTGGGACCTGCTCAGACAATGGAAGTTCAGTCCCCACCCTGAGCAAACCACCGGGCATGGCCCTGAACCAAAAAGAAATGATTGTGGGGGTTTTTTAAATTTATTTTTTAAATTTTTATTAGCGAAACACCATGAGGTACAGTTGTAGACTTACAAATTGTTGTGCTTGGGTCTCGGTTATCTTAAACTAATCTCCCAGCTCCTCAGAGACTCCAGACCTTCTACCTCCCATAAGGAGTGCGAAGGCAATTCGCGCTGGGTAGCAAAGGCCAGAGTCCACGATCTGACTCAGCGGGGCAGAAGATTTTTATTATTTTATTATTAAAAAGCTGGGTGAAATCCAAAAGAAAAACCTTATTTGAGGATTTCCAAAATATGACACGCAAACCTTCTTCCCCCCCCCCCCCCCCCATTAAAGCGCCTTTCTCACACCTTGAAGCCGGCCGAGGTGCGTGGGAGAACGCCAAATGGAAGCGCCTGGAAGAGTCTCCCCTCTGTGCCAGCAGCCCGCCTGCGTCCCAGGACAAGTTTGTGCTGGGGTCAGAGCACATTTTGTAGAGGCAGGACGCAGGAGGAAGCCGGCCGCTGGGTGCTCGCCTGGAACGCCGCCCACCCGGGTTTCCCTGCCCGGAACCCCACAGGGTCACCCTCTGAGTCCCCTGACGCCTGCGCCCGGAGCCAGGAGCCGGCGCTGGGCTCTGCCCGGAGTGCCTGGACAGCAGCAGCAACTGATCATCATTCAAACGGCGGCGGTGGTCCACGGGGTCGCAGAGACGGCTCAGCAGAATCCCGAGCCTCGCCCCCGGGGGCCAGTGTACAACCCGAGTCGTGTCCACGTTGCGCGCTGAGCGCCTGCCCCAGAATGAAGCGTCCGGCGACCTGGCCGCGCCGGATCTCGATGCGACAACCCCGCGGGGAGCTGGGCGCCGGTCGCCCCGGGGTCTCGGCAGGCGGACGCCTCAGGTGAACCTGAAGAAGGCGCGCGCGTCCCTGGCCTTCCGGCGGCTCTTCACGAATGCCACCAGCTTCTGCAGGCCCTGGGCCAGCCCGTCGCCGGTGACCGCGCTGCAGGGCTGCACGTACCAGCTGCGGTCGGCGCACAGCTTGTGCACCCGGAACCGGCGGGAGATGTCCTCGGCTCCCAGCGCGCCCAGCACGTCCTGCTTGTTGGCCAGCAGCACCAGGGGCACGTGGCGCAGGTGCTCGCTCTGCAGGACTTGCTCCAGGGCGCGCCGCGACGCTTCGAGGCGCTGCGGGTCGGCGCTGTCCACCACGTAGAGCAGCCCGTCGGTGCCCTCGCAGAAGCAGTCCCAGGCGCGCCGCATCTTCTCCTGGCCGCCCACGTCCCACAGGGTCAGCTGCAGCCCGCCGGCCCACGCCAGCGTCTCCACGTTGAAGCCCACGGTGGGCAGCGTGGCCGCGCACTGCGCCCGCGCCAGCCGGTACAGCAGCGCCGACTTGCCCGCCAGGTCCAGCCCCAGCAGCAGCACCCGCGCCTGGCGCGCCTCGGGGCCCTTGGAGCTGCGGGGACCCATGGCCCGGGGCGGGGAGGGACAGGGCCCGGCGGCGCCAGCTGGACCGGCGGGCCAGGAGCCCGCGGCGGCCTGGCGCGCGCGTTTATGGGGCCGCTTATCGGCCTTGGCGCCCAATCGCAGCCGGCCCCGGGCATGAGTCAGCGCCGGGCCCTGGACACCCGGGACATTCCAGGGCCCTGAGTGGCTCGGGAGGGGCCGGAGCGCAGGGCAGGACCCGGAGCTGGGCGCGGTGGGTCAGGGGTGCGGCAGGTCCGCCGGTCTCCGCTTTGCCCGGGGACAGCGCGGGCGCACCTGCAAGGGGAGCCCCGAGCCCGCACGCAGGCTGGGCAGGAGAGGAGAGGGCAGGCGCTGTGTGGGGGCGGGGCGGGCCGAGGAGGGGGGAGGTGTCCAGGTGTTCAGGCTCTTGCCTTGCCCGCAGCAAAGCCAGGTCTGACCCCAGCACCCACGGGGTACCCCAAGCACAGCCAGGAGTGATCCCTGAGCACAAGAGCCAGCAGCAAGTCCCGAGAACCACCGAGGGTGGCCCCCAAAACAACCTCGGTGGGGGGAGGGGCGAAAGACTGGAAATGTGGTTGTGTTGGCCTTTAACCCAGGTTAAAGCCTTTAGGACAACAAACAGGCTCCTGGGCATAACCGGAAAGGGGGGGGTCACTTCTGAGCACAGGGCTGGGAGCAGTCCTTGAGCATCGCTGTCTGCAGCCCAAGAGTCAATGACAACAAAATTAGGTGATTCTGAGTTCAACAATTACTATAGGGGAGGGCTCTTGCCTTTCCGGCTGCCGACCCTGGCACTCGTGTGATCCCCCAAACCCTGCCAGGAGTGATACCTGAGTGTAGGTCCACGAGTAAGCCCTGAGCGCCACCGGCTGTGGCCCAAAGACCCTCCCAAAAAATTATGACAGAATTATGTGAATTTTTCATAAAAGCCAAAACTAAATGTACTTCAGTTCAGGTGGCCTGGGCTCAATCATGCTAACGTTTAGGTCCTGCCGGACAAAGGTGCGGCCCAGACACTGCACACTGCATCCCTGGGTTATTCTAATCTCTTGCTCCCCTTCACATCACCCGCTTGGTAATCTGGGGGCTGTAATCCAAGGCCAGGGTTGAGACAGTCTGTTCCCTTGTTCTGTTTCTTTACCAGCCACAGGTGAGGAGGTCATCTGATTTGTGTCTTTTATCTTTTCATTTATGCATGATGTAGCACGGATGTAACATGCTGTAACATTTTTAACCAACTTCCTAACTCAGGAAGCTGACTTGCATTCATTAACATCCCATTCATTGGAGTCTACAGTTCACAATTGTATTCATAGCAAAGATATGTATTGATCACTATGTAACTGTCAGAAAGGATGAAGTCATGAAATTTACATACAAGTGGCACTACATGGAAAGTATCATGCTAAGCGAAATGAGTCAGAAAGAGAGGGATAGACATAGAAAGATTGCATTCATCTGGGAAACATAAAGTAACGAAATAGGAGCCTAACACCCAAGAATAGCCGAGATCAGTACCAGGAGGATTACTCCATGGCTTTGAGGACAGCCACACACGCTAGGGGAAAAGGCAGCTCAGATAGAGAAGGGAGCACCAACCAAATAGAGGGTGTTGGGAGGTTCCTCTCAGGATGGGAAATGCATGATGAGAGTAGACTATAGTACAGATTGCCACTCAATATCTCTTTCGCAAACTACAGCACTCAAAAGGAGAGAGATAACAAAAGGGAATGCCCTTCCACAGAGGTAGGGTGGGATGGGGGGAAGGGGGGTGGGAGGGATACCAGGACTGGTGGTGGTGGAGAATGGGCACTGGTGGAGAGATGGGTATTCGAGCATTGTATAACTGAAACCCAAGCACAAAAATTTGTAAGTCTACAACTGTACCTCATGGTGTTTCACTAATAAAAAATTTAAGAAAAAAAAGACATGTATTGATCAGATGATCAGATGTGTGTTTATGAATTACCTATTATATGAACAGAAAGGGGGGGAGGCTGGAGATAGCACAGCGGGTAAGGTGATTGCCTTGCACGCGGCTGACCTGGGTTCGATTCCCAGCAACCTATATGGTCCCCTGAGCACCTCCAGGAGTAATTCCTGAGTGCAGAGCCAGGAGTAACTCCTGTGCTTCGCCAGGTGTGACCCAAAAAGCAAAAACAAACAAACAAACAAACAAATAAATAGAAGATGGGAAATAAAACAAGTGAAAATATATTACAACCACAATTTTAAGGAACTATAGTCAGAGGGACAAGCGCAGAATGACATCTATCATATGTGGGGTATACGAAAGACAGTAAGGGAACAGCAAGAGCCAAAGAGTTTCCGAGGACAGAGCAGGGATGGGGGGTCGGGGGGAACCCTCAGAAAACAAGGGAGGGAGGTGGGCTGCCTGGTGGAGGTTTCAACTCTGCGCTACTAACAAGAGGCGCACCTCACGGTATGGACACGGAAAGATGGGGAGATAAGGGCCAAGCCAACGCTAACCACAGGAACACAGAGACTTGGAAACCAAACAGCTCCACACGAAGGGAAATTTCCAGAGACCAAATGAGTCACTGCCTACTGAAGGGAGAAAATTCAGTCCACCTGAGACAGATAGCAATTCCAAACAGAATAGCATCTAATAAACTAGCGTCTCTATTGCGGGTCTCAAAACATAAATAATAGCTGAATAAAGGGAGCGAGAGAAGCATTGCAAAAATGCCAGATGACTCAACTTAGTCTGTAAGATCATTTCAGTCCCTATCAACATCAATCTGCAGTCATATCTCCAGAGCACTTGACGATGAGTCAGCTGGTCTGAAGCCTGGGAAGGACAGTGAACGCCTCAGAGTGGCCAGGCCCCATGACTGCGGCCAGAGACCCGAGGCTCAGCTCAGTGTCACTTGGACTCGTGACCAGGGGAACCGTGACCTGGAAACCACAAGATTGTCAGCTAGTGGATCTGGGGTCGTTCGTGAAGCTTGAAGCAATAGGAAAAGAGCTTCCTCTAGAAAGGTCAGCGCATCGTATCTGAAGATACAACTTCAGAAATGAGAGTTTCCCACTTTCAGGAACATTCGAGGATCTTGAGAGAACTCTCAGCGCCCTCTGCCCGGCTCTGCCGACCCAGGCTCTTTGCAGATGGAGCTTGCTTGACTTTTGTTTTGTTTTTTATTTTATTTTTTTAATTGAATCACCATGAGATAGAGCATTACAAAATTGTTCTTGATTGCATATCAGTCAGACAATGTTCCAGCACCCATCCCTCCACCACTGTAATTTTCCAGTACCAGTGTCCCCAGTTTCCCTCCCACCCCAGCCTGCCTCTATGGCAGGCACCTCCCTTCTCTCTCTCTCTCTCTCTCTCTCTCACACACACACACACACACACTCTTTCTCTTTCTCCCTCCCTCTTTCTCTTTCTCTTTTTCTCTCTCTTTCTCTCTCTCATTTTAGGCATTATGGTTTGTGATACAGATGCTGAAAGGTTATCATGTATATCCCTTTATCTACTTTCAACACTCAGTTCCTGTTCAGAGTGATCATTTCCAGCTAATATTGTCATACTGGCCCCTCCTCTGTCTTAACTACCCTCTGTCTACCACACCATTGACCAGCCATTGACTAGTCCTCCTGGCCCACTTTCCCTGGCATTGGATATTAGTGGGATCACTGTCACTGTCCTCCTGTTGTTCATCGATTTGCTCAAGCGGGCCCAGTAACGTCTCCAATTTTTGAGACTTGTTGTTACTGTTTTTGGCATATCGAATACGTCATGGGTAGCTTGCCAGGCTTTGCCGTGCGGGTGAGATACTCTCAGTAGCTTGCCGGGCTCCCTGAGAGGGGTGGAAGAATCGAACCCAGCTCGGCCATATTGGCCGCTTGCAAGGCAAACACCCTACCCACCATGCTATCACTCCAGCCCATTAATGGGATATAAAAACAAAAGAAAACAAAACAGTTTGCTTGACTTTTTGATTTTCTGAGTGAGACTACAAAACCCAGCTCCCGGAAGAGAACAGCACAGAGTCTCCTGCCCCTGCGCCTGGCTGTCCTCGCCGGGGCCCCTTGGAGGAGAGCAGGTTGAGTTTTCCTCCCCGCCCCGACCAGGGCTCCGGCAGCCGAAGACCTCCAGAACCAGCCACCACCATGCTAAGACCACTCTCCGCACACATGAAGGTACCGGCAGAGGAACAAAGGCACGTGGGTCCCGGGGCTGAGATCTCCAAGCCTGGTCGGATCGGGGCTGAGCATCCTCCACCCAGATCCTCCAAATTCCAGTAGGCGGGGGTCACACCCACCAACTGACCCCCTGGCGCCATGTAATCCCATCAAGGGCCAAGACTCAGAGACCATAAAACCCAGCTCCCGGAAGCGACATCTTATTATCTCATTCTTACTTGGACAACCTGGCAGGCTACCGAATGTAATCTGCCCACACGGCAGAGTCTGGCAAACTCCCCGTGGCGTACCCAATATGCCAAATACCAGTAACAATGAAGGGTCTCATTCTCCTCACCCTGAAAGAACCTTGAATATGGCACTTTTCTTAAAAGTCTCAGGGCTAGGACGAAGGAGACGTTACTGGGGCCTGCTCAAGGCAATCGACGAATAACAGAATGGTTGTGTTGTTGTGTTGTGTTGAGTGAGTGTAAGCCTGAGGCTTTGTTGGGAAGGCAGCCTTTGGTTCACCCATGACGACGGCATTCTGGGCCACGTCCTCCTACTTACACACAATTTCCCAGTTTTCTTTCTAAACAGCAAAGAAGGCAATGTCTGAAATCTGCATGAACTAGTAGTTTGACATGTTCTCTGCGCACGTTACGTACAGACATCCCGCTGGCGTCTTGCTTCCTCCTTCAGGGCCATGGGGTCTCCTGTCCATTGAACAAGGGCCCGGTACAGTCACGCTGTTTGCTCCCTCAATGCTCGAATAACACCTCCTTCCTTCTTTATTTTCTAACCATTCACTCTGATGTGTCAAGGTGTAGAGTCCTTCTGCCAGCCATGCATTC